GAACCAATATAATGAAAAAATAAATAAATTATATACATGCTGATAAAATAAGAATAAATTTAAATAAACAAAGTAACAATTAATATTTATATTTTTTTATTATAATTTGTTAAAATTTAAAATTATTCATATTTTGCTATATACTACTAAAAGTGTATCTGCAATAATATGAACTAAAATCACATACATGTTAAAAAACCTTATACACTAAAAATAGCTCGGTAATGAAATAAATTAATAACAAAATAGAATTGTTTAAAGATAAAAAAAAAAAAAAAAGTTATTATTTATTTGTGTTACTTTATAATTTAATAAAAAAAATATAATATACAATGATGAGCAATATTTTTTATTTTAAAAGAATTAGTAAATTTTTTATATTTACAATTAATAACTCTATTAATTTATATTACATATTTTAAATTTATAAATAAAAAAAAAAATTAGTATAATTAAAAACATATCCAAAAAAATCTATTTTTTATTAAAAATTTAACTTTTTTTAAAATTTAATAATAAATTAAATATATATGAAAAATATTTAGTAAGCATGAAAGAATATAATTAGTGCTTTAATCTTTCGTATTCTTTTATATCTAATTATTTTTTACTCAAAAGAGATTTTAAATATAATATAATTATTTTTTATTTAAAAGTTTATGTTTTATTAATGTATATTTACTTAAATTATATGTTATTTTTAGTTAATTTTTATGTTTCTTTAATTATTTACGTAAAAACAATATATCTAAATTAAAAAATCCTAATTTTTCTAAATACTTATTTAACCTTCTCTAATATTTATTTTATAGAAAATATATATGATGTGTGTTTTAATTATTTATAGTTAAAAATGAAGTTTTAATTTTTAAGTATATTTTTTTTTCGTAATATTAATCTACCAATATTTTAAATGAATTTAAACTATTATAATATGGAACATTTCTTCTTTATTTATTATTTTTTTTTTTTTCACAATTTTATATATATAATCAATATAATATATTTTTTTATATAAAAAGTTATCCACAATATTTTATCTTGAATTTAACTACATTAAAGTAAATTATGTTATAAAGAACATTAAATATATCATTTATTTAATATGTCCTATAACGAAAGTAACACCACTGCAACTCCTGCAGTATCTTTAAATAGTACTTTAGAGAATAATACAAGTAATTCAACTGATAATGCTTATAATCCTACTTATACGAATAGGATTTTATTTATTATTTTTTTTATAATTTACCTTATTGTAAAATTTTATACTGGTAGATTTTCCCAATATGTTCAGGTATTTTAAAAAAAACATTTAAAAATGCATATTTACATTTCCATTTTTTTTTATATATACAAGTAATTATAATTCTATCAAAATAAAGGCACGTCACAGACAAAATGGGAATAATCATTTTGATTTAATATCTATAGATTCTGGGTATTTTGAGAATATTCCCGAAGATGAACAAGAAGAAAATGTAGATTAATCCTTAATGTCTCTATAAATCTTAGGATATCTTTGTAACTTATTTTAAATATATTGAGTATATTTATTTTTTTTATATATTGTCTTATAAATAAAATACATTATATAATATTCCTTATAATTAAATTTATAAATTTGTACTCATTTTATTTTTTTTAATTTTTTTTTTGAAAATTTATGTTAATAATGCATCAAAATCAAATGCTTTTTATTATTTCTTTTTAATTATTTGGGTAAATAACAAATGAGTAATAAAATAAATATTTCCTTTTTCTTTTTTTAAAAAATCAGTGCTTTTATTGAATAGATGTGTAAATTTATATCCACTATTTCTTAAAGGGTATTAACTATTATTATAACTAATAAATATAAAATTTATATTATATGTCTATGACTATTCATACAATAAAAATAATTTATATATATATATTCACTTTACAAATGTTTAATAAAATGCTCTATTTATCTTATTCAATACTTTAATTTTTATTGAAAGGCTAAATAAAGAGTTATCCAAAAAAATATCTATATAGAACTTTAATATAAAATTTTTTCTTGTCATACATTTTTATTTAATGAGTAATAAATTATATCTAATTTTTATATAATAAAATAATTAAGTAATGAAAAGTTCATAATAAATTAATGTGATTAAGGTTCTAGAGAAATTAATTTAAACCATAATGTTTTTTAAATATATTTTTCTTATACATTGAGTAATATGCAGACATACATATGATAATTTAATTAATAGTTATCACTATTTTATGCTACCTTTTATAGAGGTTCTAAGATTAATTTTTTTTATCATTTTAAAAGGGGATATTAATTAATATAATAATTCATTAATACATATTGTTTTATTTATTAACTTTTTTTTTTGTGCATTTATTTATATAGAGAATATTATTATATAAATTTTTATGTTCGCTAAAAAAACTATGTAGTACAATAAAATAGTTATTAAAATATTATGAAATTTTTTTTTTTTTAAAGGATTTAATAATCTCAAAATAAAAAGGAAAGCTGCTTAAAATGTTTCTTTGTAGTGAATTTTTCTTTTAATTTATACAACAAGTTTTAGTATTAACGATAATAAAATTTTCATGTTTTGTAGTTATATATAATTTATTTTTTTAATTACTTAGGTTTGTTAATTTGATAGCAATGAATTTAAATTACTAAAAAATATTCATAACATTAAATTAACATGAATATAATTAAAAATCATTAATCAATGATAACTTAAATTTTTAATAAAAATAGAGATTTTTATTAAAATAAATAAATTCCGTTTAAAAACAATGAATTCTCATTGATGTAAACTATATAAATATATTTAGTAATTTATTTCATTAAAATTATATTTGAATTCATTAAATTAGTATAAACATCTTTACTTATTCATTATTAATTGGTTTTTTCTATACTCTAGGAATGTCATTGAATAGACTGTTAATAAATCATGTAATAGTTTAATTCTTTTTAGTTCTTTCTTAATTTTTTTTTTAAAAAAAAAAAAAAAAAAAAAATGACTTAAAAAAAAAATTACTTTCTTTTTTGAGCGGGTGATGACGAATAATAATTTTTTTTATGCATTATTGAGGATGTAATGTTAAAAAATACATCCATAGGATATCGTGTAAATTAACCAAAATAGTATTTAACTAGTGTAATTAATATTCCATATTATTTAAAAAAAAAAATCAAATAATTTTTTTAATGTATTTATTTTAATAAACATAAAATAAATAGAGCTTTCTCTAAGTGATCTTTATTAATCTGTTTATTTAATACTAAGTCATTTAGCGAGTAATTAATAATTAGGCATTATGTAAATTAATTTAAATAATAAATAATTTAATTAATTTTATTTCAGTGTAATAAGTTGAGTTTTCTCCACATTCTCTTTATTAATTTGTTTGTTCATTACTATTAAAGTCACTGAACATGCAACTAATAAATTAAGAATATTATGTATATTTTATAAACGTGTGTTAACTACATTTCAAAAAATATTTATTTTTTGGATAACTATTTTTCTGTTTTTATGTGGAAACATAATATTATTGTACGTATCATCATGCATATTTCCCTTCATCTCTTTTAACTTGAATACATATAAAATACCTTAAAATAAGTCACTATCATTTCATACATTTTCAAAGTGTTCAATGAAGCCTTATATTACCCAAATGATTTGCTATTTGACTATTTAGTCTATAAATAATATTGTTGATATATTTTCATTAATATTTAAATAAATAAAATGATTAAAAACATTTTTATTTAATTATGCTAAAATGAAAAGGAAACATATGAACTAAAAATATAAGTACATAAAAATGTTTGTACAATAAAAATAATACTCACCCTAAAAGTAAATATACAGATGAAGAAATAGATTTACTATGTTATTTTTTTTTTTTTTCGTACTTACAATTATCCAAAAATAATATATATTTTTTTTTTTTTATATGTAACTTTGACTTAAAAAAGAAAATTTTTATAATAATGATTTTATTTCTTTTTTTTTTTCTTTTACATGAAGAAAGATGATGTAAAGTATTTTTTTTATGAAATATTAAAAATTTAATGTTAAATATTATACACATAAAGTATTATGCAAATTAACTATAATAGCAATCAATGTAATTAATATTTAATATCAATTAACAAATATTCACAATGTGTTTAATATTTTAATTAATGTGAAATAACTAGAGCTCTTCTATATGTATTTTTTAATAATTTGTTTGTTCAATACTAATAAAATCAATGAACAACAATTATTAAATAACTATTCAAAGAACTTTATAGTAATTTAAAATAATGAAATTAATAAATAATATGTAGAAGAATTTTTATCTTGTATATCATAAAATTTATTCGAGTAAATAACTATGCGCCTATTATGCAATTATTTATTTAGAATAAATATAGCGTATTTATTATATATCTTATAGTCTTTTTTTCATTTCTCAATGGTTTTTATAAAACTGTATAAAAAAAAAATAGAGAAAAATATATTCACAGTAAATAAAAATACTACATTTAATATATTTTTATTTATTTTTTTTTTTTTGTTATCAATTACACGAATATTTTATAAATATGCCCCTACTATATTTCAGAAGGTATTTAATTTCTTGTTAATGCTTTTGGGTTTTTGTGCGCATACAAAATATAGTTCTACGTATCTTTATTTATATCTCCATATATGTCTTCTAATTACCTTGCATGCGTAATAATTGCTTTAATGTAATCAATTATCATTTCATAAATTCTCAAAAAAGCCAACAAAGTCTTATGTTGACAATCAACTTATAAATATATAATAAAATATTTTATTTTTTGTTGTGTTTATATTACTCTAACTTAAAAATAAAAATTTTAAAAAAATATTTTTTCTTTTTTTTATTAATTTAATAAATTTAAATATAATTTTAATACTATAAATTAGTAAACTACTTGTATGCAGCTTGTTAATAAGGGGTGTTATTAACCTTTTTGATGTAAAAAGCAATAGTTGTATGGATAATAAATAGTTATCCAAGCAAATACTAGATAAAGAAAAGAAAAAAAAATTAATTGTTAATCCTTTTTTGTTTTTTTTTTGGAAAAATTAAATTACATAATAAAACATATTGATTTTTTTTTGAAAAATGGCTTAATGGTGAAGAAAAATAGAATGGATGATTATTAAAAAAAAGAAGTTTCCTGTAGTATATTTTCTTCTAAATTTATATTAGAAAATTTTATATTAGAAATATTAAAATTTTCATATTCTGTAGTATTTATTAACTTATTTTTTATTTTGGTAATTTTGAAAAAATTGATATAAATTACTAAACAATACTCATAACATTATAAATAAAATATATATAATTAAATTTTATAATTAACGAGTATTTAAATTTTTAATAAAAATATAGGATTTTTATTAAATTAAATAAATGCTTTTTAAAGAACAATAAATTTTCAATGAAGTATGCTACATATTCGAAACAACTTACTTGATTTTAGAATTAAAATTATACTTTAGTTCTTTAAATTAGTACATTTAATTATACATGCTCTTTATTAATCTATTTGTTTAATACTCTAACAAAGCCATCGAAAAAAATATTAACAAATCAATTGGTGATAACAGCAGAAATCTCGAATTCAACGCAAACAGAGCTCATATTGAATTAGCAGGTAGCAATGAAAGAAAAATTATCAAATCTTTGATTAAACATATTATTAGAAGTGAATGTTCTTAACAGATCATAGTAGCTTAAAATTAAAAAAGATGATGAAATAAGTAAAGTTTATATACCAGAATGACTTCTTAAATTTAGCGAAAAATCTTTATAGAAATATTTTACATGGTTTATTGCATTTGCAACATAAGAATGTCATGGCTAACTAAATCAGAATCATGTATTATATTAGAATCATTTTTGCTTAAAATTTATTTACTGGGCATATCAAATTTGACGATAAATGATAAAATAGTTAACATATTTCAGCTATAAATTGAAGTGGATAAGTTGCTTTTTCAATATGAAGATTTTAAATTCTTTCAAATTTTTAAAATACGTAGTTCAGAAAAAAGGACTAGTGGACAAGAGGTTATGAATTTATTTATCGAACATGTACTATATATGCCCTTAACTGTTTATGTTTTAATTAAACAAATAATATTAATAAACAAAATTTTTTTAGATCCTTTAGAAGATAAATCCTTTAAAGATATGCAAAAGAAAAAATTTTAAACTTTTCACAGAATAAAATTTTTTGAGACATGTCATCACTGTTAGCTCAAGAAAAAAGTGATGGAACATCATATGAAGATCTCGAGGAAAATATCTATTCAGTTAGTAAATTTAAGAAGAAACTAGTTCTATATGCAATTTGAAGAATAAAACTACTAAGTGTTATTGTCGCAGAGAGAGAGATCATTTAAGAAAAATTACATATATAGCATGAAAAAATATAATAATTGTAACATGAATG